GATCCAGTAGCCGTTAGTAAGATTGAGCTCTACTATTGGATCTACAACTATTACTGACAACATCCTAAACTGTTAGTAAGATTGAGCTGCTACTGGATCTACAACTATTACTAACAACATCCTAAACTCTCAGTCTTACTAACAGTTTAGTATGTTGTCAGTAATAGTTGTAGATCCAGTAGTAGCTCAATCTTACTAACAGTTTAGGATGTTGTCAGTAATAGTTGTAGATCCAATAGCAGCTCAATCTTACTAACAGTTTAGGATGTTGTCAGTAATAGTTGTAGATCCAATAGCAGCTCAATCTTACTAACAGTTTAGGATGTTGCGAGTAAAAACTGTAGATTCAACAACAACTTTCAATTTAGGATGTTGTTAGTAAAACTGCAGACTTAATGATATCTTAATTATACATAGAAGTTAGGGTGTTGCCATTAAACTGTATAGGCTTAATAATACATCAATTACGAACTGGTTGGTTGTTAATAGAAACTGCAAACATTGTAGTAACCATGATGTGCCTAGACATATGGGGGGTTGTTATCGGGAATTTGAAATTTTGAAACAATTCTGTTCCTGTATGCATGTAGTCTTAATGTAGGTATTTCTGGTAGCTTGAGAGAATCCTTGAAAAGACCTGACAACTGAACAAGAACATATAAGTATATCATTATAGTTACACCAATTTCTTGATCTTCATTCAGTTAAGACTGTTTTCATCTGTGTTTAATTTTTCATAAATGACATTCCACTTTTCAGATTTAATTGAAAGGCCAAGTGTGGTAGCGACGACCAGGTTGTTAAGCACAAAGTTACACAATGGGCTATCTGCGCTTTGCCCATCATGGGTATCGAAACTCGAATTTTAACGTTGTGAGCCAGTAGACCTACCGCTGAGCCACTGAGGGGTTTCGATGACTAGGTTCATAGAAGTTTCAATTACAATGGTAAGCTAATACTGATTTTAGCCACGAGGTGACAGGTATTCAGTGCTTTTTGTAACTATGTTCTTATCAAAGTGGAGCTGGTTGTAATACAGATGTTCATGTTGTCTCCAATCTATCAGTCTCAGCGAAAGAGTAAATCATTCCTGAAGTTTACCTTCTCATATTTCTGCTTTCTAAGCACGTCTGTCTTCTTTAAACATAATACCAGTGTACGAGTAAGAACAATACCGATTTTCAGAAGTTGTCTAGCCGGTATAGTCTTAACATGTGACTTATTTCATAAATTAACACACCTGGATTCTTTGCTCAAACGTAAGACGAAAATTTTTTTAAATTTATCCTATGATAAAACATACTTGTGAAATCACTAAACGGGTACCACGTGGACAACCACTGGAGAAAAACGAAAGGTGTCGCCACTCTAGAAACCTATTGTTGTTAAGCACAAAACTGCCACTGTGCCATTGTAGTGTCAAGAAACCTAACTTAGTTTGTTTGAACTTGGCAATAAGTTGGCATTCTTCCAAAATGTAAAGTATTGTTACGTCTCTGGTCGTTGGTTAATTTTCCGTAAAAAATTATTTCCGAAAAACTTCAGCGATACAAGTCCTTTCTTAAATAAAACTAGTTTATTCTTTCTCAATACAACTTTGCAATACACTTAATTTCCACAGTCACTTTCACTTAAACACACGCTGTAATTCACAACGATTCACGCACTTTATCTTACGACTTGACTCGATTATCTGTCTATCTCTTCAATCTGCAATTATTCATGCCATCACTTCTTTTGCTGGCTTATATATACAAAAATAGAGGGCGCATGGAGAAGACTAGAGTTGCCACGAACAGACATGATCCTTCTAGAATCTCATGAAGTGTTATTAGGTCACGTGACTTCCGCTGTCGTAACAGTATAAACCGAATCACGCCTCTAAGTGTCTGAGGGAAGAGTTAGGCAATAAATCCTGTAAAAAACAGATAATACAATAAAAAAATGGATAAAATTCCAAATAAACTTCAGTTAGCTTATATAAAACCCATAAGAGGAAAATTTGTTAAACAAAACATGAAGCTGATCTCGCTAATTTTTCAGTTCATCAGCATTCAGTGGAACCAACCAAATAGAGATTTACAACACGTGACACCAGCCAGCGGGAAAAAACTATATCGATATGTAAATAACACCTGACTATTCCGGCCAGAATTCCAGGTTCCTAATATCAACTAGAATAAAACAAAGACTCTAGATAACAAAAGACTATTCTGGCCTAGTTTCAAGGTTTCCACTATCCACTGGATTTCTACAGAGGCTTTAATAATATAAGACCTTCTGGCAGTATTCACTGAAATAAAATATATACTTGAAAACCATAAGACTTTTCTGGATAAGTTTCCATGTTTCCGATATCAAGTGGAATAAAAGAAAGACTTGAACAGCATAAGACCATTTAGGTTGAGTTTCCATGTTCTCTGTATTCACTGGAATAAACCAAATGGGTATGCGAATAACATGAGAACGATTTTGGATAAAATTTCAGTATTCACCAGAATAAACCAAATAACGATTTGTTAATCTTATACTATTGTGACAACAATTCCAGTTTCTCACAATACTCTGGAACAAACCAAACACAGTTATGTCTAAGTATCCAGTATTCACTGGAAAAATTCAAACAGAATTGTGAACAACTTAAGACCGTTCTAGGTAAAATCCAGTTTACGAGTAATCACTGGAAAAAACACAGTGGACATAGCGTGGTTGAGATATAATTATGCACTCTTGTTCTTTTTCAAAGTAAAGAATGCAGTTTTAAAAGTATGAAAGGCCTAATATCAATGGTTTGTGGCAAGTATAATTAATTATATTAATTAACTTTGAAAAGACAATCACTCCTTAACAAGATATATGAATAACATGAGATGGTTCTGTCAAAAATTCCAATCTCCTAGTAACCACAATAACAATCTAAACAGATATGTGAGACCGCTGTGACTAAAATTCTAGTTTATCAGTATCAACTGTAACAACCTAGATATAGATGTGAAGAACTGTAAATAATCTGTTCTAAAAAAAATTCCATGGATAAACAGTTCAATCTATAACTGTATTGAAAATTTAACAAGTAATGAATGTGCGTGAGGTTCTTGGAACTGAAGAAGCATAATGCATGACTTTATATATTCAATGTAGCATCAAGGAGCTGAATTTTAACGGGCTCCTCACGAGCCAGTGGGAGAAATTTATGTTGAAAAAACAAAACAAATCTACCCGATCCGGTTTTTGTTAATTTAAACTGAAATATTTTGGAGGTTTTTATTGGCTAAAAAGAAGGCATTTCCCGCACTCTTTTAGCTTGGGGTTGCGAAAATGGATTTGAAGTGGTAAGGTGACAAATCCGTCAGCACATCACGAGCTTAACGGCCAAACAGAAGAAGCATGGAAGTCTCCAAATGAAACGCAGAGGTTTTCAGGAACCGTTTAGGACCACCTTGGTGGATATTGTGCAGTAAGTCGGGTACAATATTATGCCTGTAGCTGCTTTCAAAGTGTTCCTTTCTGCTCGTCCTACTTCTGACTATCGTGATGCTTCGACCTTCCCTACCAAATCGCAGTGAAATCGTTCGTATCTCAATTGAAAGCTAAACATAAAAAGTTGATAGCAGAAGCATAAAAGGTCGGCAGATGTTTAATTAATGATGCAGAGAATATGGATTTATTTATATATACTAAATATACGTATCTACTTGTTTGATAATTTCTGGTAAAAATTATTTCCGAGAAACTTCAGCGATACAAGTCCCTTCTCGATACAACTTTTTGTAATACACAGAATTTCCACATTCACTTTAAACTTAACAACCTTTATAACACACGCTATAAATTGCAGTGATTCACACACTTTACTTACGGTGCCTACTGTTCACTTGAGTCAATTATCTATCTATATCTCTTCTAATCGCGCTGGTTTTTCTCGCCATGCTTATATACTAAAAACAGGGCGCCTCGAACAAACTAGAGTTGCCAGGAAAATAAATGATCCTTCGAGAAACTCCAGCGTCGTGTGACTTCCGCTGTTGTAACAGTACTATCTAGTATGGAGACTTGATGATGCTGTATTTCACTTAAATATTATCAATTAATAAACAAAAACTTGTCTCGAAGTTATCTCAAAAAGAATTGTCCAATACCTTCCTCTTTGGGAGCTTCCAGATTGAGCTTACTTTTAATATTCAACAAACTGTAGAGTAAAGAAACCCGTTGGCTCCTGAGGGATGTGTTAAATTGTCATGTTGAGGGTCAGTTCTAAAGCTGTCCACTCGAGGAATCCCTCAGCCAGTCAAACGTGGACTGGATGAATAGCCTTGTTTAGGGCGCTTTACTAGCAATCTGTAGGTTGCATGTTTGAATCCCCATCACCGAACATGCTCGCCTTTACAGCTATGGGGTCGTTATAACGTGACGGTCAATCCCGCTATCCTTTGGTAAAAGAGTAGCCCTAGCGTTTGCTGTGGGTGGTGTTGACTAGCTGTTCTCCCTCTAATCTATCACTGTTAAATTAGGGATGGTTAGCCCAGATAGTCTCGAATAGCTTCGCGCAAAATTAAAAAAAACAAAAAACAATCTGGCTGAACATACCCAATTCCAATACACTGGACATAAATATCGAAAGTATTTTTATAGTAGCTTGGAAGATTGAATATTTTTAGAATTAGATAACAGATTGCTATCATGAACTTGTTTTATTGCTACTCTTTTTTCGATGTCTATTCTTAATTGGACATATAAACATTTTAAGTGCTTATCTTTCAAAATATTATACAAATACTTTTTTGTACTTAAATTAATCAATATATAAAACTTAAATATTGTTGATATCCGCTAGAGGTTACCCTTTCACCATAATTTCTTGTCGTCTGGTAGATTGTTAGGCTTAGCAAAAAGCGGCAATCTTAAAAGAACTTAATAAGTGCATCACTAAAAAGTAAAGTTAATAGGTAAGTTGGCATTTTAATGATTATTTTGGTGTTAAAGTCCTATCGTTTAGCTTGAAAGTTGAAATTTTAGAGACCCAGGAAACATTGAAAGTTTGAGATTTGATAACACTTTTACAGTTATAGTTATATTTTATATACAAAACTAATAATATTTGTTAGAAATAACTTAATAATATTATTTAATAGTTGCTTTAATTTTAGATTATTTTAATTTACGATGAATTTAAGTCTTTTCTCGTAATTTGCTTACAAAATAAAATAAGTCTGTTTTTGTAGCCTAACTTGGAATACAGGCCTAGAAGTAGAAGTAGCCTAAGGTAAATATATCAACTCTCAAGTTACACTGGCTCTGTCAGTGTAACAGTTTGCGGCTGAAAATTGTAATCGGAACTAAGTAAGTAATGACGGTTGACATGTTTACTTACTGTTCGCTTCGATTTTTTGTAATTAACATAATTGTGTCCTAGATCGATACGTACTCCAGAAAGTTGACTGTCAAGATCTGATGTTAATATATTAATGTTAATCATGTGAATGCATTTCAATTATGTGATCAGAGAAGCTCTTTCACTATTAATATTATTTTAACCATAAACCCATAAACCTAATTTTATGGTGGTCATTTTATGGTGGTTAGTTAAGACATAAATCTATATAAGAAGTTAACAGTACAAAATGCATTTAATAAAGAAAAAACTGACTCAGTAGTATTACTGAATAGCATCATGGTAGTGCATTGTTACAAGAAGTAAAGTTAATACTAAATTTATATAATTTTAGGGTATTTTTACAGACATATTGATTACAAGTCAAAAGGACAAATATGAAAAAATAACTGGTTTTTCATCTGTGCTTGCATTAAGAACTTATTATTAACTGTTATTTTTAAAAATTTTATTTCCAAATTTCTGTATTTCAAGTTTTTAATTGAAAGGCCACAAAGACTTGATTGATGATGATGTCTTGGTGTTGCCTAGTAGTGAAGTTGACACTGCGAGTGCTGTCTTTATATATATATATATATATATATAAATATGTGTCTTTATTTTGGTTTTTGAGCAAAATATCGGTCAGTTTCATAAAAAGAAAATATCCATTTCTCATCTTTCTGAAAATATTTGTAATTTTTTTAGATTTTTATCTGGCTAATGAGATTATTATCTCTGCTTTATCTCTACTTTAAGAAGGGATTTGATTTTTCCCTGAAAAATTTAGCATGGATTTAAATTATTACTTTTATCAAGGGTGGCCATGCAGAGATGACCTTGAAGGATCAAATGGTCTCCTGTGTCCTTATGCTATGTTAATACAAAGGTTAGATACATCAACTAACGTACAGTATATGATGATCTTGTTCTATAAGTTTAACAAGGAAACTAGGTTATCTACAATTGCCTCAATAAAGACACTTTGGATAATCCTTGGAACTGTTTAGTAACACATAAAGATGAATTACACTAATTAATTCTTAAACACTGGGCAAATGAAATTCACATGCTGTGCATTGAATCTAATTGAATACTTTGCTGTTGTTTTAACCATGGTAGTCGAACTTCCCAAGTCAGTAGGTACATGTGAGTTTTCCAAATTGAAAAACAACCCTTTTCTCATTGTCTAAAATTTGATCCCATTTGTTGCATTTCTTTTTCTACCTTCTCTCAGCTGTCACTGTTTATACATTTAAGAAACATATCTTTTACAGTCAACTGCCGAAAAGATAATGCATTTGAGTATTCTTTTATATGGAGAAATTGACTGCATATAGAAATTTATTTCTGTTGGTAAAAAGTCAGCAAAGGTTCGTGTATTTTTACTGAATTACACTTTCAAATGACTTGTTATTTAAATAGATTTTGTATGATGAAGAAATAGTACAACAATACTACCTTTTTAATTTTAAGTAGAGTTTAAATATACTGATTGAAAACGAAACAAGCATCTAAAATGAAGTAACAAATGACAAAATACTGACATTTTCTACGTGGTACCAGGCTCTGATAGAACTATATGGCATTTGATATTTATATCCAATACATTCAAGCTGGTACTAGTGTTTTAACATCAGGATATATGGACAAAAAGGGCCTTTTGGTTTCTCGAGACTACCCATGCACATTCACCCTTGAGAACAAGTAAAAACATAAACTCACCATTTGTTTTTCAGAAAAGTATTGATTACTCTCTTAAGCTCTTGGTAAGTGCTGGCCTCAGCTACTGCCAGTGGTAACTCATTACATAAGCCAGTCTTCATGTTAGAAAACTAAAATTGGAGCCAAGCATGTTTTTTCAAACTCTTAAACTTGTTTCTTCTCATTTTACTATCTTCAGAATACAGTACAAAGAAATCAGAGATATTTATCCCAAAAGTAATCTTGTAAACGTCAGCAAGATCAACTCTTACCTTGATTTTGTCAATAAAAAATAAGTCTATCCTTATTAGATAACCTTTGCATTTCCAGTTTCATCCTAGTAGCTGCCTTCTGAACCCTTTCCAGTAAGTGGATATTCGTGCTACTATATCGTACAGTCTAAAAAGATATTTACCCTATTGTGTGCGTTCTACACAGATACTGTCATCATCACTGTTTAAACTTTTGTTTATTTGCAATTTGCACCATTTATTATAAATAATGCTTTTAAACTAATAAAGTACAAAATACCATTACAACAATGAAAACTATCACAATTATAATCTAAATTTAAGGTACTCTTTTGGAACTTATTATAATTATTTGCTGAAGAAAAATGTGAATACATATACATTACTTAGGAAGAACTTATGTTTTAGTGGATCATTAAAGTGGTGATGATGATAGTATCTGTGTAGACCACACACTATAGTGTAAATATCTGTGTAGACTGCATGCTATAGCAGCACCTGATATTCTGTCTTAGATAAGGAGACTAAAAATCTATTCAATATTTCAAGAGAATCCTTACTAGTGATTTGTATGAAGAAATAATTATCATCTTTTTTTAAACATGTAATCAACATGACTATAAATAAATCCTAAAATTCTGTTAGTTAGTTCTTTTGTTTTTGCTTCAGTTCAAACTGTTTATAATAAACTTAAGGAGGTTGGTTTGCATCCATAGAAAACTTATCTCAACACCTCAAGCAAGGCCATCAAGACTGGGTTCAAGATGAACTGGCTTAGACAATAAAAATTGTATGCAAGTTCTCTTTGTAGATGAAGCCAGGTTTTGTTTTAGATTTGCAGACATTTGTGCCAGAGAGTGAAGATAACCTGAAGAACACTATCAAAACACCAATGCTGTTATGATAGTAAGTTTATTATGTTCTGGAGTGGGCTGCATTAATTTTAGTGGCAATACTGATTCCTTTGTATTCTGAGATGGGTTTTTTACAGCTGTAAAGTACAGGGATGAGATTTTGTGTATTAGTTTCATACTTGTGGATAGACTGCCCAGATGCAAAATTGCTTCATCCATATAGGTATGCAGATATGAGATATATATTTTAGTGATTCAGAAAGTATTCTATTGAAAGTGGAAAGCTAATTAAATTTTGAGTTTTATATGTAAGGTATTTGACTAGATGTCTGAAGAGGCAATGATTTCCTTGTGTGAGTCACTAGTTAGGCTTCATTTGGTGGAGCAGTGTGTGAAATTTTGGTTCTCTTATCTAAGAAGGACATTGAATTGTTGGAGTGAGTTCAGAAGAGGCTACTAGGATGATTCTGGAGATAGATTTTCATATAAAGATGGGTTGAGAGATATTAACTTATTCCCTTTTCAAAAGAGAATCATTGTAGATTTCCTTTGGATTTATTGTAACTGGTATCTTTTTCCTCCTTCTCAATTGTGGAAATATTTATCTGGATACATAATTGTCAGGGTTTTATGTTTATGGGCTTGAATTCTTCTATAGTAGGTTTCCGACACAGTACTTCCCTCCGCTCACAAGATTAACTATTCTCGTTCATTGCTACTTTTTTGTTACGCATACACAAGCCTTTCACACCCTCTTATTGGAATCAAATGATTCTTGTGTGTCTCTGATGCAAATCATCATACGTCACTTCTCCACCAGTAGGAGAATAGTACACTCATGTGATGCATGTGACTCTTTCTATGTGCCTCTACCAAACTATCACTTGGCAGTGCTTGCACTCGGATGTCTTTTTTTTTCATCTTGATTAGTGTTTGAGATTTAATTAGTTCTCAAAGTGGTATAATTTTACATACTCAGTTTTTTTTAAAGCATTCAGGTTCAATTACCCTTATTCTAGTTGCATTTATTTCTTACTTCATACAATTTTGTCGACTAATACAACATGAATTCCAAAGTTAATGACACCACTTCAGGTGTCTCACATTCGACAGGCTCTTTACCACAGGCTTCAGGTCTTGTCGACCAATTGGGAGATTTGTCTATGTTTATTTGTAGGGAGATTAAACGTTGTATGGGTCAACCTCTATCTCCAGAAATTGCCTCACTTCCTCCTGAACCTGTGGAACTTGGGCAAGCTGAAAAGGACTTTGATCACCTGTTTCCACATCCCAAATTTGCTGTGCCTTCCCATACCCTTCTTGAGGATTATGTTCAGCCTTTCACTATTTTTTCTCAGGTTTGTGATGTTTTATCCCTTTCTCCCATATCTTATGACTTGAGTCCTTTATTGCTGCATGAATATACTTCCCAACCTTATTTTGTTTTTTCCCTGTCCCCTAACATTTGGGTTCATGCTGAACAATTTGCCTCTCAGTTGGATGATGACATTAGTATGCCTCATCCCCCATTAGCTTGAGATCAGTCTGCCCTCGGATGTCATAGGGCTAACTGTCCATATCTCAACCAACAACTGTTGGGTTTGGTTTTAATTATTCGAAGGTGAGCACTGAATCTCCCGTTAGTCTTAGCCATGTCCAATTTTCCTGCTTCCATCTTACCCCCACTACTCTTTTGTAGTACATTTCTACAATCCATCTTTTGTCTGAGGCTCTTCACAGAATTCCTGAGGTATTTTCTGGGGGTC